AGTATTATTGTTGAACTGATAAGCAGCTTTTCCCAAATAGCGGATGCCCATCACCTCCGACATGGGTACCCTCGACCCGTAAATAGGCCAACGCCAGGATAACGATCAGCTTTCGAGATGGGTGTGGCAATAAGGATTAATATTGTAGAGATCTTGAAGGCCATAGCCAACTCGGCATACAATATCGAAGATTTGTTGTGGGACTGGAGGACCACGTTCATAAGTGTATTTGTATCGGGAGAATGGCCCTGACGTGGAAATCATCACCATGGATCTGCTGACGAGCCCTCAGGGTGTCAAAATACGTCTGACTCGGGATCCCACGTTTCCCATGACAGTTATATGGTTAAGCAGTCCCACTCGTCTTGGTTCAACATCTTGGCCTCCACCCTCCTCTCAGCTCTTCACAACATAAAAATTCACCGTAACTACCAGCTATTTCAATATTTCTTACCTGCATCTTGCATAGCGATAAACATTCTCGATCTTGCCGGCTTCTTCTTCTCCCTTCTCCCCTAAGTCAAGGCGCTGCGCTCTGGTATATATTAAGGCATGGGAAGAGAAGGAGGACAAGACGGAGGAGGGCCAGCTTATCACCAATCCCTACAATTGCTCTTTACATTTCATCACCAACATTGTTCATGCAACCACGCTGCCGCCACGATAGATCCCATCGACGGTTCACTTGACCCGACCTTTGTCAAATAGGTCAAGACTACCGAAACGGCCCTGGCCGAGGCCTAGACGAAGAAAGGCCAGTTTGTCACTGATCATCCTGCCAAGGATACCGTTAACCAAATCTTGATGATCCGAGCACTTGGCAAAGAGTTTGGGGTTGGTGGTGTCTGTGTGGGGGATACTTGCTGTGACAAAGCTGCCTCAATCCAGTGACAGCTGATAATGATATCAGCCTTAGTTGGCTGGACAATCGCAAGCGCAACGAACGAGATAATGACAGCGGTATATATCGTCAAGCTCTGATAACAAAGATAATGACTTCAAATCCGAATGGAGGGGAGAGCCGTCAGATACGAAGTAAAAAATATTATCAGAGGATTCTGCATACGTAAGAAAAAAGCGAATGAACCGCAACAAGAAGAAATAATAGTGATACAAGCGATGTAGAGACTTTGACACGAGAGTGCCTCGCGCAAAACTTCCAACACCCTCGTCACGTCAAAGAATAAGATACTCGCAATTTCCCTGTATTTAAACCTGACGACTCCAGTGCCATATAATGTCCATCTGCCAGATGCCAATATAACCTCAATTGTCCTTTCCTTAAAACCTCGTTTCATATCTCCCATCCCTGAACCGCGTGACCCCAATTGCCATATGTGATTTATGTCTCCCATTACAAAGTACCAAGTTATCCTTTCATCATAGTCACGCCTCGCATCTTTATTGAAATGATATTTGATAGCGCTCATGCGATCAGTGTGCCAATATGTAAACATTCAGCAAAGCCATAAACCCTAAGCCGTGTCAATTAAGGAACTTGAACGCATGAAAAGAAGCATACCGCAGGCAACACAGAGTGGGATGTGTGTAAGATATGTTGGACAGAGACAATGCTGGGTTGTTTCTTTTTGGGTAATGTCGAATAGTATGCTAGTATGGTGGTGTTGCAATCACAGTCGCGCACTCAATCGTTCAATGTACGGATAAGTGCGAGTGAGCTCACGGTTGTATCCGCGTGCTCTCGGCGCAGTCGAATGGGGTATGTAGAGACGGCATGGAAAACGTAATCCTGACCGTATAATCAACAGTGCTGCTGGCGATATATAAGAGACTGGCGACAAAACATCGTTCATGCGAGGAAGTGGCGGACTCTTGGGAGCAATCCTAAGCTGTGTATGATATGAGAGACGACTGTGAGAACAGTCCTGTGTTATACCGTCGAGATAGAATATACGTCGCCCTAGCATTCCAGCGACTATGTTGTTATTGAGACCATGTCGAGTTTATGGCAATGGTGAACTAATAAGCATTCTGATGGCACGTTATCTGTAATCTTGTTGTCATATGTTAGTGGTTGACGAGGTTCCTTAATGCCCGGGGTTTCTTATGTATCCTAGGGAGGACTCTGCATGTGTTGACAGTGATGGCCAAAGTTCAATCGGCTGTTATTGGACTGACGTTCTGCTGGAAGGAGATAAAATGAGTGATGAGTGTCTGCTCGTGGGTGAGAAACCAAGACGCTCGACAGGATAAATGGGGAATCTGTGTGGTTTTGATGAACCGAGTCCATCAAATAGGATGAACTGTGGGATCTGTGGTTTTAATAAGCCAAGTTCATTGAATAGGGTTTTGATGAATTGCGGGATCCGTAATTTTGATGAACTCCGGGATCTGTGTGGTTTTGATGAGCCAAGCTCGTCGAAGAGGATGAATTGTGGTATTTGTCGAACAGGATAAATTGCGGTATCTTGGTGGGTTTGCCAGAGCCTGTTCACCAGACACGGAAATCACTTGTAGCAATTAGTATTGTTCTCTTTGATGTGAAGAGTGTATATACTTGGTGTCAATGGTAAAGATAGAGAAACTCTTGTCTCTTTGCTGAGAATAGGCTGCTGGTGTTGATGATAAAGATCGGAAAGCTCTTATTGCTTTGATGAGGCTGGAAGCAGATACCGAGTAACTGAAAGTGTCTTCTGCTATGAAGATCATTTTCGCGCAATGGATAAGCGGCGCCGTCTTCAAGACGGATCGCATCCTCTGCAGTTGAATCGCGGAATGACTTGTGGTCCATAGTGATTCTTATGAGATAACGGATCTCGACAGGATGTTCTCGGTCAGATAGAGGGGATGACTGCTTTGGCCGGAGGAGTTCAGGAAAATGTTCATGTTCGCGGCGAATATGACGGCTATCTCCAGATCAGGGAAGAGTGGTAAGGCGCGCTTCAATAGAGAAGTAGATCAGTCGGGTGGTCCGCTCATGGGCCTCTTCAATAGGTTTTGGTGAAGGGGTTCTTGACTGAGGGGTAAAAGGATTAAGGCATTACGAGTAGTGGGATGCGCCCGCACATTGTCTTGTTGTTGGCTGGATCAGGTATTGCTTGCAGACTTGGGTGTTCTGATAGAGGCTTGGGCACTTGGAGCTGACGAGAACCTTTGATCCCCAATGGTGAGTTTCGAGACGCATCTCGGAGATGCTGATTTCTCAGGGATGTAGGGCGGATAAGGCTCTTTAATAGTGGTGATAGGGACAGCTCTTGGAGTTCGGGAGAGGGTAGTTGCTTCTGTAGGCTATTTGGGTAAATCTGCTAGCAGAGGATAAGCCAGGCGTGATCGTGGCCTTGCTAAGTGCTTGGATTATGAAGATTTGGTTGACGGTATCCTTGGCAGGATGTTTGTTAAAGCTTCTCCGGGTCTCGCGTTGGCGATTTACCTCTGAGGGCAACTGATCATTGTGGGATTGGGATTGGTCCTGTCTGGCTGTTTCGTCTGGACTTATTGGTACCGATGGATCGAACCTTTCGAACTTTGGTGGAATTTGCTTTGCTTGATGGTTTATTGTTGCGGAATGTTTCAATGGTGCTTGGGGCAATATGGCGACTGCCTTAGGGCAAAGGGTATTTCGAGTTCTTTGAGCGTTTCTTATGAGGTGAGTAAGATGTTTTTTGTATACGGGACCTTGTGGTTTTTGCCGTATATATGCTTGTAATAGATGACTTGCTTTGTTTTTGCGTGTTTTGTGTGGAGGAAAGGTCTTGGACCTGCGATTTGCTCCTCTGGCGCTCAGAGATCGTAAGGCCAGATGTCCGCTTATGTACCGGATATCCTGAATGACTTGAGACATATCATTTCGAGGATGTCCCTGAATATTTGTAGTGAAGGCCTGCCAGCTGGTGAAGGATCGAGTCCTTTTCTTTGGGGAAGTTCCTCCTTTGTGATGCGAGAATAGGCTTGGCTTCTTGGTGGATGAGATGTTTGAATGGGGGAAGTTGAAGGGATGCTTGGTTTGAGGTTACTGTATTGAATTAACAGCGCTGATCCATTGAGATGGGAGGAGTCGTCGATAGTTGTTGGGTATCCATGTGGCATGTATCCTCATCAAGACAGTTATAGCTTGAAGGGAATCCTTTCGTTGTTGATGCATTTGGTTTTTTGGTGTTGTAATACTTTGTCCTAATCCATAAAGGAAGGGCTTGCTCGCGACAGTTCGAGGAACTCGGCACCATGTTGGAGAGGATTGGCGAGACTGCCGTCATACAAGAACAACTCCATACAAGAACAACCTATACAAGAACAACTCCATACAACGCCAAACGCCAACCAAAAAGAGCCAAAACAAAAAAGCAAATAAAAAAGGAAAAGGCCTTCCTGCATGGCTAAAGACCTGAGGTCCTCCTGATGCTTGGTGAATACCTAAAGACCGACCTACCTGGATATCGTGGTATCCTGTAGCATGACGAATGTGCTTGCACCATCGAAACGTTTAACGGTTCCACAAACGTGGTGGTCGTTCCTCAACGTTATGAGCGACGAAGTAATCGCTGCAGCGTGAGCAGCTATACATTCCCGCCGCAGCCATATTTGAGCCAACCATTGAAGGAGGCAGCCTAGGTAGCTTCGGGAGGTGCAGGGCCCAGGGACGAAGTATCACAGTCTTGAACTGTGAGGCAATAGTAGTGCGAGGACGTCCAACATCCATCTTGGAGATATAAACCTTCTCAGTCCTTTTGGAAAGGACAGCTGCTCGGCGACGTAAGAGATAGGGGTATAGGTTTCCGGTATCACCAGTTAGTTGACTATCCACACAACACCAGTGAAAATTGAGGTCATCCCCATCACCCAGCGCCAGCCTTCGCTCTCGCCAAGAAACCCGCCAGCAATGGGACCTGTTTTAGAATAGTCAGCGGCTTCTTCGCGATACCGAAAGCCTAAAGGTTTGTGTCTCGAACTCTGTGTAAAGAGGTGGCCTACCGATAGTAGAGCCCAGGAAAGCGGCCATGGCAAAGAGAGTTGTAGCGAGTCTTCGATCTCGAGCTTCGAACATGCCAGCAATAACACCGCCCGCGTTGCTCAATGGGGACGATCCAGAAGAGCCTGCAAAGAAACGAAAGACTATCAAGGCCGCCATGGTCGGGGCACCTGCGGCACCTGCATTGAACAGGGTCAAGGCCATGAAAGAGACAAAGAATGGAATATGTCGACCATAAAGTTCTGAGATATTTGTTAGTTACCTAGCCATCCACCAAATATCATAGGCTTACCGTTCTTCGCTTGTGGCTTGGTTTTCGGTTTTTCTTTCACTTCTTAATTACCTCATTGATTCATGTTAGTCTTGTTGCAGCAATGCTTCTTGTATCCTTCAGCTAAACTCTCTAGATTCTATCTTTGCTGCCTCAGTATTGGCGGCCAACTCAATCCTGCGTTCCCTTTTTGGCGCTGTATTCCCCCTCTTTACGACCTATATGTACAACGACCTTGGGATTCATTGGGCGAGTTCCATTTCTGCCTTCTTGGCTGTTGCTTGTGTCCCGTTTCCGTTCCTATTCCACAAATACGCGAAAACTATCCGTATGAAGTGCGAGTACGCTGCAGAGGCTGCCGACGTCCTTCAAAGGATGCGCACCAAGCACGGGATGATCACGGAGGATCAGGCCGAGTTGGAGCGACGGGCGAGCAATGCTCTTCGCCGCAGCTTAACAGAGCCTCGCACAAGCAAGTCTATTCAATGATGCACTCACCAGTATGCATTGTCTCCTTACCTCAAATGTGTGATGCAAATTAAGCATATATGGAAGTTTCACGGGATAGGGATCTGGGCCTTAGCACATCTGATGGCCATTATCACCCGACCCGTAGAAAGCAGCATCAAGGTTGGTAAGATTTGAATTGTTCTATCCGTAGTGGATGTTGGCATAGATGTGGGTTTGGTTCCAATTGAGTCGATATAGGGGCAAATCTCACCAGTCTTGTCTGGTCCGATTGCACGATCCGGTCAAATGTATTCTAATAGCAGCTAAAAACAGGAATAATAACCACTTTATTCAATTAAACCTCGCACCACATGTTACGATAGCTGGGTTCTGTTCAAATTAAGATCCGAATTTGTTATAGCCCCCTCCCCTTCCGTTACGCCTCTGTCAGTCCTGTCTGATTCGTCGTTTCTCTTAAAACAGAATTCGGATAATGAGATCGGCCAAAATGTGACCAGCGTAGTGAGACCTCGATAAGCGATTGTTGGGTTGATGTTTTTCTTTGAACACCTAGGCATCTTGGTGGCACCGGGCCATTCCCCTCACACCTGACTCGATGACCAAGTTCACCTCATGACCCTCATAATCCAGCCTTACGACAAGTTTTTGATGCGGCATACCGAGTTGACCATGGTCCTCACCATCTACATGATATTGATCGTGCAAACCCCTGACGCCACGGCTATCTCAAATGCTGTTTTATTAGCGTTGGGCTGTAGACTGGCTAGGGGAGGAAAGAAAACTCGGGACCTTGATCCTAAATGACAAAAAGACTTAGGTAATTTAGGATAAGTTTAGTATTAATTTAGGATAAATTTAGGATTCCTTTTACCGAGTTTATTTTTAATACCCTAAGGTATATATATACAGGTCTGAGTTTTCTTGCCCCCCGAGGACTGTGACCTCGGCCTAGAAGGGCCGCGGCGGCTATTGCTGCTGCTGCTGCTAGGCGGGGCGCGTCAGACACGGGCCTTATGGCCATCTTGATGGCACTGTAAATCGATATTGGTTAGTATGTCATCTTTTAAAGCAGGAGAGGAAGATATTGATTGTAATCAAGCGAAAAGGTAGTAGAAAAATAAATATACTTACGTAGTTGCAGCGCATCCGGCGCTGCTCACCACCACGGCCATCGCCAGCGCCACCACCAGCGCCGCCACCACCCGAACCGCCGACGTTGATTGTATTGTATTGTGTCTATATATATATGTTAGCATGTAGCTCTCAATGATGCAGCAAGCTTCTTACAGTCATATCGGCTTGAACGTGTGATTTCGATAGGTGCTTTGTCGCCTTGAACGTAAAATATTTATAGGTGCTCTGTTGACTTAAACGTGTGATTCCGATAAGTGCTTTGTCGGCTTGAACGTGTGATTTCGATAGGTGCTTTGTCGACTCGAACGTGTGATTTTGATAGATGCCTACCTAGTCAAATGGAATGATGACTGGCTTAGGTTGTGGCGGCCAAACGTTCGCGACGTCGCTTTTTGACCCTTCGATGGGATGCCAACGGTTGATTCAGAAGAAAGGAAGCTGAAGAGCGGGGTAATACGTAAATGCGCGTGATTACCTTAGGTATTTCAGGCATCCAGAAAATGAGGCAATATTTCCAGGTATCAGCAGAATATTTTGGCAAGAGCGACAGCCAGTACGGTATGCTCTAGCAGATCAATGGAATAATGAGCAATACCAGTAGCTTTTGTAGGGTGCTTCTATTGAGTTTCTACGTAACAGGTTCAGTAGTTGTTGAAGAATGCCTTATATAGAGAATGAGAATATTATATAATATTGGCTAAATGTAATTATCACCAGTACTCCGTATATATTGGTGTTTTGAGCTTTCTAAGTTTCGGACATTGAAACCCCTGGGTAAGGTACTAAGGTAGTGGAATTGGAATGACTGACAGGGTGCAGTACTGTAGAGATGTGGCGCTAAACAACGTTCATGCAAGGTACCAACTCTTAATGCACCCACGGGTGTTGCTGTAAGGCATGATATGCAATACCTTACCAAAGTCAGTCCATTACCTTTACTCAACCGAGCCCAACAATCCACTGAAATCATCCAAGCTGTGACAAAGAGCCCTTATACCTTGTCATGGAGCTGGTGATGGTAGCTTTCACCGAGTAGAGCTGTCAGTGTCAAACCCTCGGGGAGCAAGAAAAATATTAGACCTTAAAACGGGGTCTCAAAATAAACTCAGCAAAAGGTATCCTAAACTCATCCTAAACTTATGCTAAGTTACCTAAGTCTTTTTGTTATTTAGGATTGACGCCCTAGCCCACCTCTGTATTCTCCCGCCCGCCCGCCTCACTCGCCCCAGCTGCAGGGGTAATGGAGTGGATGAACATATGGCTGATGCTTAAAAAATGTCCTAAGAGGATCACGACTTTTTCACGCAAGGCATCACGGTTAGGATATCAGAGCGTTCGCGGGGAACATACTTGAACTGGATTATTTTTGTAATTGGGTTGGTCATATACAACAGTCATAATGATCTCGCCTCATTACTCATTAACAAAGTCTACCACCAAGATATTGGTCGAAATTGACAAACAAGCCTTTTACATTACCTGAATTCATCACCGCATTAAGCTCCATTTCTATACACCTGGGCACCTTGGTTTCTGAACATGATTGTGTCTCTCCGTTGAAGAACCATCAACGCTCGGTTCAACGCTTGTTCGCTGTATCCTTTGCCTTCGACCATTTCCCTCCTAAGTGTAGATAGGCTAGTACTCCAGCCGATAGGCAGGCGACGTTTAAGCTCCGTCTCAAGGCGGTTAACTTCATCGTTCAACTCGCGACTCCCCTGATTGCTGCCCTGGTTGACGGCATCCATTGTGGAGCACAGGAACAGTCGAATGGCCTCGTCGACATGTACTTCGGTGGCGATGGGTGAAAGGGTGAGCTTAGCAAGAGACTCGGTGATACGGACGATAGCCTCGAGTTGACGGACTGTGATGGGAATAGAGGAACGTGTGTTTGCTTCCATCTCGGCAGCATGGACCTGGCGTCGGATGGAGACGAAGTGAGAAGAAAGCTTTTCAGCAGCCTCGGAACTCAGTCTAGGTGCGCAACGTCTGTCGGATATTAGTATAAGCAAAATAAGATTGCAAGGGTTGGAATTGCAACTCACGTCTTGCAGTATGTGATGTACCGTCGCATCTTGTCAATGGGAATTTCGGTTTCAGTCATGTCCTCGGCGCCTCTACCATTCATCTGGATACTGAGAACGTGCTTGGCCATAGTCTCATCCTTCTCACGGCTGTGGTCATCCTTGACAATGAAGATCATATCAAAACGTGACAGAATAGTAGTCTGAAAGTCGATGTTTTCTCCAGGAGTCTTCATATCATCATACCGACCAAAGATAGGATTGGCAGCAGCCAACACCGATGTTCGCGCATTCAGAATAGTGGTGATACCAGCCTTTGCAATGGAGATAGTCTGCTGTTCCATAGCCTCATGAATCGCAACTCGATCTTCGTCTCTCATCTTGTCGAATTCGTCAATACACACAACTCCTCCGTCAGCCAAAACCATTGCACCACCCTCGAGATAGAATTCCCGAGTAGATTGATCACGTTGAACAGATGCTGTCAGACCTGCAGCGGAGGAGCCCTTTCCCGAGGTGTATATAGAGATAGGAGCCGCTTTCTCGACAAATTTCAGAAGTTGTGACTTGGCTGTACCGGGGTCACCAAGAAGCAATACGTTGATGTCGCCTCTCAATTTCATTCCATCGGGAAGAATCTTCTTTGAGCCACCTAACAGCAAACAAAGAATTGCCTTCTTGATATTGCGATTGCCGTAAATAGAGGGCGCAATGCAGTCGGCCATCACGTTGTATATATCGGGCCGTCTGCTGAGCTCCAGAAATTCTTGCTCCTCTTCCTCTGAGAAGGTCGCATTTCCCTTGGCTGCTTGATCAATATCTGTCTGGATCCCAACGGCTCTGAGATAGGGGGTGCGGATGGCTACAGCACCACCATTGGAAGAGTTCTTAGAAGCCTTGTTTTGGTAGATCGAGAAGATGCCCATAACAGTACATCTCGATCCAGGAACAACCCTGTTTGTGAGGTATCTGTCAGCTGAGATGAGAACGTGTCGAGGCAGTTCTCCAACAGGGACTTGATCGGGAGCCTCTTGAAGCTTGATGATCTGTTGATCAACAAAGCCTGACTTTTCATGAACAACAAAGTAGGGATCCAAAGGACATTTTGGAGTTGGGTCGTTGGGAACTCGGCTACGAGCACATTGTCGAGGCAGAGTGACACCTGTGAAGCCACCTAGAACAGGGATGTTTTGTGTGTGTCCACAGTTGCGGCATTGGATATGGAGTCCTGTCGCCTTGGATGACATAACAGAGGCGCCGATGACAATACCCGGGACTCGTACCAGTCGCGCAATGGTCACGGAATCGAGGTTACGGATCGAGACGTCGTCGGCATTCGAGTGAAGAAGAAGTTGGTGATCAGGGATCTCGGCCTTGGGCTCATGGGGGAAGACGATACGGTGTGTGCATTTTTTTAGTGCATTTTCAAACTATTGACTTGTTAGAGATTTATAAATTGCGCGCTGTGTGGTCCCTACCAGAGGGATAATCTCTGCTGGCTCAGACGTCAACTGGTGCGCGAGCTCTTCGTTAAAGCTGATCAAGTCGTTGATGTTGACATCGCAGAAGTATCTCTTGAGAAGGGCATTCTCTCGGAGTTGATCTCTACCGCACCGTTATTATGAAGGACAGCCGAAGGCTTAATATTGGGTGCAAACCTGTAGACGAAGTTGTTATCGAGTCGAAAATCAAGGATGAATGTTTCAAGCTGTGTCTGGAGCTGCATTCGAGTATCGCCATTTTCACCGTAGCTCGGCTCATAGACGTGAGCCGAGTAGATTGATCCGCGGTCCATTGTGTATCTGCGTGATTTTGAATAATCTGGTGAATCACTCCTTTCCTTTCGTTGCGAGCCTAAAA